AATCACCCAAAACATGCCTTACTATTAATATTATTAAAGTGTAACTTTAAGCAGTGCAGGCAAATACTGCAATACATCTGTTGTCAAGCAATTGACAACATCACTTCAAACTAACTTCATAAACAGCATTAGATATTCATGGTTCAAAGACATATTTAATGTTGATGTAAAAAAAATGGAATCTGTGTCATGATGCAAACACAAAATGATGACACAATAATAATTACACCTTTTTATTTCAGAAAAGTAGGATAAACTAAAAATGGACACGAGTTCTTAACATTTTAAAGAAACTAATGACATGATGAAATACAGTTTTGTATTTTTAGTCCCCTTGGTATACCTGCAGTGAAACGAACCAGTAAAAATGACTTGTAGAAAAGAACAACTGTGCCACTGAAGTAAGTCACAGAAGCACAGTTAGAACCTGCTCATGTAACACCGGAAGTTGGAATTTGGAGGATTTGACGATGTCAGACACTGCTTGGATTGAATTTGTTCTTCAAATACTTCATACAATAATGTTAATATTTCCCTGATCTTGCTACTGTGTGCTGCTGAATCCAATCAATGACACATTTTTCTTTCAACACAGTTTTTTTGATGCATTAATGTACTCGAATGCGAGTGAGAAAATCCTGCACATAAATTTGTCTGACAAACTCACAGTACTTCTAAGAGTTTTGCCTGCGTTTGTCATAGACCACATATTATACCTGAACCACCACACTTACACCTAAATATTTCACAGTAATATTTAAATTACTGCTAGTCAGTCCAGTTTAAAATTAAATTAAATTAAAAAATCCTGTGAGTCTTATGACTTCAGAAAAAAACACACAAATTCCATTGTCAATGTAACGACCGTAGATATAAATACTGCTATTTTATGGCATGTCCTCGTTTCCAGCATAAATAGTTTTACAACAACAGCCTTCACTGGATGCACCCTAAACACACAGAATAGTCTAGAAACCAACACTGGTCAGAAAACACAACTGAGTCCATTATCACATGCTCTGAACTTCGTTTGCCTCGATTTTTACATCATAGTAAACTGTAAGATTTTATTGTTCGGTTTGATGAGACCCAAAGAAGTGCAAAGATTGAAAAGACACTGTCGATAATTTCTTTCTTTTTTTCAGTCATGCCTCGGTTGAGATGTTAGGTTTCAGGAAAGTGGAAAGTTCCAGGAGAAGGTCACTGTGGGCGCTGAATGGATTCAACATCACACCCTGTGCTGATCAAAAACAATATGATGGCTTTTTTTTTTCACTCACAAGGAGGAGTTAGCTGAAATGATGAAACTGTGATGTTCCGTTAAAACAGTCCCACATTCCACACATTTTTACTGTATACATTTTTGATTGAAGTGTGAATTGCACAACTAACTTTTAAATACTTAGGGTCACCCATCCAGAGAAATGGACAGAACACAAAACAGGTGAAGAAAAGGGTGCAGGAGGTAACGGATGGAGTGGAGCGTTAGGAGTGACGTGGTATCGAAGAATAGCAGGAAAGTTGAACGGGATGATTTCTAGGCGGTAAAACTGTATGGGAAGGGTGAGGATGGAGGGCGGGGTCAGGACAATACTAAGGGCCTCCTCCTGAGGCCCAAAAATATTAAAAATATTAGAATACATCGGGGCCCATTGTCATATCCTTCCACAGGGACTCTGAATTCCTGGCAGCATCCCTGTTTATAAGACAGTAGTGAGATCTGCTATGATGTCTAACAGACAAGGTTCTGAGTTCTTCACTGACTGAGACCAGGATCAGGGACGGTTAAGTTTGGAGATAAAGTTAGAGAGGCGAGGTAGAGATGATTAGGAGAGATACTGGAACTGTTGAACAGACGGAGCTGCCAGGAAAGAGGAGGAGAGAAAGACCTCAGAGATGTGTGGATGTTGTAAAAGAGGACGTGGAGATGGATGTGAAGACAGACAGGGTGAGGTGGAGGCAGATGACCTGCTGTGGCAACGACTGAAGAAAAATTGTACACCTAGTTTCACAGAACATTTTAGTTTTCTGAATTTTGAATTTGTAGAATTTCAACATTCAAGACGCAGCTGTGTGGGTACAGAGTACTGTCAGCAGGTAAAAACACGAGTAAAAACCCAGGTACAAATGTTCATGTAAACATGTCTTTTTGACCCCAGCTGAGACCACCACCGAGGTGAAGTGATAGAAGATGATCAAATAAATGGGTTAAAACAAAGCGGTACGCAACATGAAACATTTCTACAGTACACCTCCGTTCTCGTTTTCCGCCGCTCGACCGGTGGGCGCTGAAAGTGACCGTGGGAAATTAGAGACGTGACTCTCAGGATCTGGCTTATGCAGCAGAGCATTTGTGAAATCCTAAAGAGTGCGACGAGAGGCAAAACAGCCTGGTCTAAAAATGTACTTTGTAACAGCAGGGCTGCTTTTAAAAACAACCAAGTGAACAGACTGGTTCCATGTCGTGTACTCTCAGTACACACTGTAACTTCGATCAGCAGCCCTACGATCTGACAACAGACCTCAGATTCCTCCCTTAAAATTGAGACCACGTTTCTAGATGGCACCTTGTAATGCAGCTGAACATTCATAGTTTCAATCACGATTTGTGCTTTTCACCACATATAAATGGAGTTATTATGAGTCACCATTTTTAACCCACCTTAAAATACGTTTACATAAGCTTACGTCCGCGTGACACACTGGTGCTTACATTTTTCTAATTTAAAAAAAGAGAGAATCTTCTATGAGTTCAATTGATTTTAAATCAATTATCACTGTTTTTGTTTTCCATGTTTACACATGTTGTGCCTTTTATATAGATTTGTTTTGATGACATGTACTTGTGCTTTTCTCAGATTTTTTTTTTGATGACATGTACTTGTGCTTTTCTAATGTACTTTTAAAGCAAATTTGAAAGTAAGACAGAGATGCCGTAGCAGAGGATAATTTATCTACTGTTTAATCCTGAATTTTTTTAAATAGATTTTTCTATCTAATTTGATGAACGTTCTACTTTCCGTCTTTTAACCCTTGACTGATGCAAAAATGCAGCGATATAAATGAAGTCCTGTTTTTGTCAATGCATTTCGTTCGTTTGTGCTTCGTTGTTTTGGTGTTTTAAAAGTTTGTTGTGAGCGTAAACAGTAAGAAAAATGTTTACATACAAGTTGTGCTATTTTTCTGAAGTGAAGTAATTTAGGTGGACTTTTTTCCATTATCACAGTAAATCCTTGTGTTTGGATATTACACCAAACAGCTGTATTATAGTATTTAAATTCATCGCTCACCCTTCTGTTTTCTTGTTAAATTCTCGTCAGGTTACAGATCGACTGTCAACGAACAATTTCAACTTTCAGAGCAGTGACGGCAGCATGAAGTCACAGCTCGGCAGTTATTTGACCTCGATGGCACCGAACAACCTCAACCATTTCTTCTCTCCTAACCTTTGACCTTCTGTGTACCTTCTGTAATTGTTTTATTCTAGACAAAAAAAATATATATAAAATAATTATTGAAAATCTACTTTACACAAACCACCTGGATTTACAGAATGTAGAGATTGGTTTGACTCCTTTTTTTTTTAGAATAATTCAATGTTTTTTCATTCATTGATTTGTTTGTTTTTTGTGTGTGTGTTTTTTTTCTTTTTCTATTTTGTTCGGAGTTGATTTGTTTGTTTTTTGTGTGTGTTTTTTTTTTTCTTTTTCTATTTTGTTCGGACCACACTTTAGGATCTGTTTTGTGCTCAGCAGGTGCTTATTCTGACCCCTGCAGCTCATGCTTGACATTCATATGTGTGTCACATGACAGATAGGTGATTGGCAGGAAATGCCTCCTTTTTTCTTTTTTCTTTTTTTTAAATACAAACAACAACACAGCACGTCACTAAACTGAAAGAGGAATACTGACGGTAGCCTGATGTTTGTGGGAATGTTCCTTTTGTAGGATTTCTCTTCAGTAAGTGGGCTGATATGTTTGTGTGTTTGGGTCTATGTGCTTGTGTGTTTTTGTGTGCGCGTGTGTGTGTGTGTAAATTGTGTGTGTGGCTATTATCATTTAATACAGCACCATTTAATGACCAAATCCCTTCATCGAGACATTGAAACAGTCTCCTTCAGATCACCACAGAGTCAGCGTGTCAAAAGTCTGGAACCGTGTAGATGTCACTCCTGCTGTGCTGTTCCTTTGTCGGCCTCTGGAGGTTGTTCGAACTGGAGTGTGATGTCTGTCATTCCTGTTTTTTTTTTTTTTTTTCTCCGCCTGTCACGAAGCAGGCACATTGAAAAGACTGATGGTGATGTTGATGGTGGTGTGACACGGTGATCAAACACTGTTTCATCAGAGTTGCACATCAAAACTAGAAGGGAATGGGTTTCTGTGTCGGCCGGTCAGTCCTGTCACACCGTTCCATTCTCCTGCCGCGGTTTGTGGGTTGTCGTGCGCACGGGAGTGCTCAGCGATGGAGCCAGGGTGCAGAGGAAGCCAGCCAGCAGTGTGAGTCCCAGTCCCCCCCAGGCACAAAACATGGACCAGCCATAGCCATGGCTAATGTCCTCGGGGAGGCCGTACATGTAGCGGGGGTAGCGGGACAACTCAAAGTTAATTCCTGCTACACATGTGCAGAGGGAGATGATGCAGCACGTCCCTGTGTGGAAGACAAACAACAGCAGCTGTGATTTACCAAAGTTTAGCTTCGGTGGCTAAACCCCCGACATGTACTGTGAATCACACTGAAGGACAGGGATCACATTACTGGAAAACATTGATCTTGACTGTCATCATGTTAACCCACATGTCAACGAATAACAATAGACATTGGACTGAATTGGATTGTGTCTATAGGATTGCATGTGGACATGGACATATGTGATCTCACAGTACCTCCCATGAGAAAGAGTAGCCCAGCTACATATTGCATGAGGTCATGCTGCTGGCAGCAGCCCAACACTCCAACGATCCAGCCAAAGAGAATGATGGAGACAGCCATGCCCACGAAGCCTGCCGTCATCCTTCTTAAATCTGCGAACATGTAAATAACGACATCGCCAACAGGTATGAAAGATCGAGCAACTTCACTAAGGTGAAAACCTAAGGAAAAAAAAGTCTGTTTTACAGCTCGACTGATTTGGTTGAAAATTGAACACATTTATGGCAGGAATGAAGCTGAAATGAACAAAAATAAAAAAGGTGTTGGTTGGTTCAAGTAAATTCAAGTTGGTAAAAAGTAAAAAATATAACATTCACATACATTTGAGGAAAAAACATAGGGGCATATTTGAAGTGATTTATAATGTTTCAAGGGGTGTACAGCTCTACAGAAAACCAGTGCTCTTGTGTTTTCTTGTGTCTCTGTGTTTTCCTCCTAAAACAAAACAACTCTTTATTATTATTATTATTATTATTATTATTATTATTATTATTATTATCAAAATGGTTAGGTTTGTATTTCAGAAACCTAATATTCATTTGTGTTTACCCTAAGGGCACGTTGTACAGCCAGCTTTCCCTTTTCCTTGAATAAAAACTGTTTGCTCTTAAAATGTCCTATTTATTTTAACATTTACTGCCATCATAAAACCCTGTTTGTAAACGCAGAGGTGTCAGGAAAGGAGACACTACAGTCCTGGTCTTGAAAAAATGTGTATTGTGATTTTTAAAAAGTAGCAAAGACATTATTAGATGTAGTAAATGTCCTGGGTTCACATCCCGGCTGTTTGTCAGACTATGGACATAAAGGACGGATACTTTTAAAATCAGCGATCTCCGTTGTTGGAAAGAAAGTGTAAGATGATATGCTAATGATTTTTGCAAAAGAAAACGTATTCATATTTCAGTATGCTAACAGCTACACCTTCAGTATGCTACTGCGCATCATACGACACCACCCAGGTTAGCCAATCACAGTGGAAAGGAAGAGAAGGAAGCACTAGTTCAACAACTTCTTCAAAGTTACAGGTTGTAGAACCAGGTGAAGGTCGGTGCAGCAGCTACCAATAGAAATATTTTGTTTTCCTTCTCGTTTGAGATGAATTGTTTTTAGAATTAATTAAATGCTCCTGTAAATGAAAAAAAAAACAGCTTCATAATTTGAATATTTATTAACAAGCTTTGACAATTTATTGATGATTTTGACCTTTTGGCCTTTTTGCATTGCATTGTACTAATGTACTTTGATACCATGCCATACCAAACCATGAAATGTGTGAACCATGACACCCTCATATATTAATATACAATTGAAAATGCAAATATATAATTATACACAACACAAAGAAAGACAAAGTTTCGGACTTACGAAGTGCATGCCACTCATCCTGTCGTATGGTCTTTGTGATGTTGATAGGTAAATTCCGCGGTAGGATGGACGAAGAGTAGTGGTATTTGACAGGAGTACACCTTTGAATTATTCCTAGAGAATAAGACAAGGATGGGAATACTTTTTACTGCTGCAAAAATACACTTCAGACAAGAAAGGTGTTCTGAAAACAAGGTGGAAACATAATTGTTAAGCCTTTCTCTCACAGGCCGGATTATGAACTAATATACATGTGGTGGCAAATGTGACTTTATTTAACACCCTCACTGAAATCTAATGAACTGCGATGGCTTTATTAACCTCCTGTTCTCAGCTACTCCCACATGGTTATTAAGAAGGATTAGAAAACAATGTCGACCCAGAGAGTGGTGAAACCTCAATCTTCTCATTTAAAAATGTCTTCACGTCAACCAATGGGTTTAAACTTTGAAGTTCTGGGGAATTATAGAAACCGCAGTAACAGAGGTTGTTAATATGAGAACTCCATGGGTTGGCAGCAGAACAATTCCTGATCTCATTCTGCACATCACAGATCATAGAGCATGTGATCGACTAGTCTGCCTGGAGTCCAGGTCGCCTGTCGGATACTGTACATCATGAAAGAACTAGTGATGTAAAGATACAACCAACTCACGATACAATATGACTCATGATTTTTTTGATCACCATTACAATTTTCCCACATTTAATTTGAAACAAAATGAGCTCCAGACAAAATAAGGACAAAATAGAATGGTCCTTTATTTGTAAGAACTGCGCAAAAATACCATTACCAACTGAAACGGTCTTGTGTACATTATTAACTGAAATTGTTAAATAACAGAATCCAAAAAAAACCCTGAGTATTTCTTTACAGAAACACTGCACATCAACATGTATCTCCTCCTATTGGAAGTAAAACTGGTCTGGTCTTATTAACCTCGCTAAATATATATTATATTATATTAACATAACAACAAATAATACATAAAATATTAACTGGAAAGATTTTTTTTTTTTTTTTTATAGATTCGCTCGTCACAACTGTCTAAGGAAGAAGTTCGTCCCATGTTCTGTTTGAACACCTGAATGTCACATAGGCTAAGTAGGAAGGGTTTAAAAGCAGGTCACAAAGAATGGCTTTAGGCGTATACCGCCACCTACTGTCCTAGAGTGTGTAGTCTCTTGGTATGACCAGTGACTTTTTGAGCCTACTCCTTACGCCTTCATTTTTTATTTCAACCAATGCGAATTGTCAGACATTTGTATTGATTTTTAACTCCACATATATTTTTAGTCTCTCTAATCTTTATTGTTTTCCTTAAGCCCTTCCAAATGCTGTCCTCGTGGTTCATCAGAGTGTCTTCTCCATACCTCGTGTCCTTGCCTCTTCTACTGTTACTGAAAATCAACTGTCCTCGTGGTCTTACTATGCCCAGAACTCATCTTTGAGGTTTTGCAGGATCATTTACAACATCCTTTGTGCAATACATCCACTATCTGATTCACGGGTGACAATAAGGTCTACTATTTCATCCGTAGGCCCGGTCTGTATGAGGTTGATGAAGATTGTTCTGTATTTCTATTTCATAGTGAAATGGTAACATCTTTGACGATAACTGCACTAGTATTCATTTCAATAGCAGTTTGAAAGTTTGGGGGGTTGGGGGGGGTTGGCAATGCTGTACAAAATTAAGTACTTAATTAAGTAATGAATATTCCCACTACCGAGAAGAGATTTTACTAATCTAAGACAAGGATCTCTGGTCCCATATAGGAAACTCCAACGTCTCATATTGATGCCTCTTAATCTGGACCTGCTCCACTTTGATCTAGATATAAAAAGCTGCTACATTTTATGGCACAGATGGATTTGAACAGTTTAAAAATACTTCACTTAAGAAACACATTTTCACACCAGTAAAAGCTACAAATGGGTCACATTTTCATTCTTTCACTGTCACTTAATGCTTAAACAGGGCGGCCATTATATTGATGATAATGTTCCACTAATACCTCTGTGTCTACTTTGATTGCTAATCAGAGATAAAAGTACTGGGGAGACCAGTGACAAAGTGTGTCATCAGCTAGTGTGTGTAGTAGTGTGTTCATCGATTGTATAAAAAATATTTATTTTCCCAAAGCTAATCTGCTTCAAGGATTAATGTCATACAATCTATTAATCTAAAGACGTAGGGTAAGAGCAGGGCTATTCTTCTTCAGAAAGATAAGTGTTATAACAATTCCTCAAAAGATATATATATATATATATATATATAATGCCAAAAAGAACTCTTGGATTTATGGGGTTTTTTTAAGGCAGCTCCTCATCTGAGGAGTTTGTTGGTAAATACTTCTACATAACGACTGGTGAAATATTTCTAATGTCACATCCTTTTTTTTTTAAATCACCTTTGTTTCTCTGGCATTGTTGGTGAGCTTTTCTTGCATTACGTGAAAATGTCCTTTGTGTGACATTATCCCGTTAGGTATGTTATGTCCATGAATGCAAATGGAGCTCATAAAAACAGAAACGAGAAGCTGCCTGTGCCAGAAATGCAGTCAGCACCATGGACAGCGAAGTACACCATTGAAACACGGCAATTAGACTTTCTTCATTAACAACAACGGTGATATCAACGTATATTAACGGAAAATTGTTGGGGGGAAAAAGAGAGAGAGAGAGTGAGGGAGAGAAAATGGGCCCGTGTTTAAGTCAAAGCCCAGGTGAGAGAATCGCGGCCTGTGGAGCAGACAGAGAGACAGACACCGAAGCTTCATTGTTTACCTTTGTAAATCAGGTCCTCCGTCTCCAGGTCGAATCCTTCCCGGTGACACTTCCTCCACAGGCCGGAGATGGTGGAGTTAAACTGCCGACTGCAGTGAGACTCCATGGCAGATGCTGCGGCCACGAAATGTCTCTTCCCCCTAATGAGAATGCCAGCATCTGGGCCGATACCTTTTCTCTCCAGGCTCTTCGGAGGCATCTGGAGGGGGAGGTTAGGGTTCGAAATGTAGATGTAACCCGGGTCGGTCCTCTTGTTCACATAGTTCTTACACCTTTCCCGGTGCCTCCTCGCATCGGTTTCGTACCAATAGTCGGTGCAGATCGCCATGGCGAGAAGCGCCAGTGCACACATCGCCAAGAAGAGCCCAGCACTGGTTAACATTTTCATAGCGGCCATCTTCCCCTCACGATGGAGAGCCCAAACAGACGCCAGAAGGTTCCTCCGTGGCCGTGGTGGTGGAACCGCGTGAAATAAATCACGACGGCGATCAGAGCCGGGCGCAGTCCTGCGCTGGGAGCATAACGATGAAAGGCCAGCGTTGTCTGGTCTGGATGATGTACCCTATTGTTGTGGTGCCCGGTGGATGCAATGTTGATCTCACCATCTGTTATGGTACAGGAGGAGAGAGAGGATGGATGGCGACCAAGACTGAGAGCGGGAGGATGGGGAGGGGGAGGAGGAGGAGGAGGAGGAGGCAGTGATGTAGCTGCTCTCTCTTCTCCAGGATGCTGCGGGATAGAGAGCAGACTGGAATGTGCTCTGTCGTCATTTCTAATGCTTGAATGAGCACATTTGGAATGAGGTAAACCTGAAAAAACACCGACGCAGTTGGCAAGGAACAGATACGCAACACGACACTGAAGTCAGATTTGTCACATTTACAGCTATAAAAACACAAGAGTTACTAGAACATTTATTTACTTTAGCCTTGACCTTACTTGGTGTTAGCTCAATAAATTTGAAATGTAATTTCTCAAGATCTTTGTTGGGACAATGGGGTCAGATGGGGCTAGGAAATCCCCTATTGTTCAGAATGGGAAATGACAAAAACAAGTTTGAGAACCACTCACATACTCAACTATGGAAGCCTAAAAATATTTGATTAAATATAGGGTTATGTATAAGGATCGTTTTAGGTTGTTTTTTAAACCATCCAGTGAAAATATTCTATGTAAAATTAACCACTGAGAAATGTACATAGCATTTCTCAGTGGTTAATTTTACATATTTGCAAATGTGGCCCAATAAATAAATAAATAAACAGAGTAGAAATGCAAATGTTTTATATATTGTGTACAAAAGAATGACGGCATTTACAACATTGTAACATAGTCCAAGACCTGGATAAAGGTCATGGAAACATGCAAGATGTTTTGGCTCCCATTCAGGAGCTCAGGCGCTCGGCCACACTAAACAATTGCAGCATAATCAATACTGCCCTTGTCTGTTTGAACATGACATTTCAGACCATTTTCACTATTAAAACACACACTAACAGTGGGTCAGGGTTTTTTTTTTTTGCATAGTGAGGTCAATTTTAAACCCATGGGGCCATCAGCACCTTTTACACTGGTCTACAAAAAAGTGCAGATGTATCCTTATTTCTATGTAGCATTACACAGACTTTAGGTATACATTACTGAAATATTTATTTAGGTTTAATATAAAAGGACCACTCAAAATATGATAGAGAAATTTATTTTTTACTTTTTTAGGAGTGAAAATTTTCAACAAGAGTTGAGTCAACAACACATAGACAATGTTCCGCATGACAGGAGGCCATAAACACCTGTGCCTTAGAAAGAAAACACAAGTCAAGTTGATTATTTGGTTCCGGTAATGGTTTCAAACTGAAAGTAAATTCAGTCAAAGCTCAAATGTAACAAGGTGCAGACTGAGCTGTGATGAAGATACATTGAAAAAAAACACTTTGGTGTATTTAGTGTCCACTTAGGCTGCCAGCCTGTTTTGGCTTCTTGGCACTTGTTTAGCGCGACATGGTTCCATTGTGTGACGGTTGTGGAAAAAAAATCTTTGTTGCTCGTTTCTCTCTTTTAATAAATATAAAGCAGCTATATTAGAAACAGTAAACTCTTGTTTGAACACTTAAAAAAAATTTATGTTCAATTATTAATTTAGAAAAGGAGCACAAGAAGGAGGTTGTCCACGTTTACATAGCAAGAGTATCATGTGGAAACAACATGATTGTCAGCCGTAAAAAAACTATTTGGTAACAGGGGTCCAAACACATCTTTGAAATTCCCTTAAGTCTGGCACATTCTCACATCCTTTCAGTCATCCATCTATTCTTCTATCTGTAAAGTGCCATTTTTTTAGTCGTACTTATTGTTTAATTGGGTGATGGTGATGATATAGAGGAGTGATGTCAGATATGAGGTGGTGTTGAGTTCTAGTCTTTAGTCTCAGTGTTCAGTCAATAATCACAGAGAGCAGAGCCATGACTGCCACACCACAGATCATTAACAGGATTTGCAGGAGAGTGTGTCTGAAAACAGAAAGTAAGGGAAATGGTTAGATATTTTTAAAGGGATGTTATGGTCCCATTTGTATGTGGGTCTAACCACTCTAAAATACTGTACATCACAACTCAATTCACAAGTAGGAGAGAAATTAATCAAAATAGTGACAAATTTCAGAACAAACAAAAAGCAAGTAAACCTCAATCTGGGCTCCTCTAACAGGTCAGGTACCACGTTAACCAGAGCGATGTAGAGAAATCCTCCAGAAGTGAAGGACAAAATCCAGGCAGTGGCATTTTCTAAAGAGTGGATCATAAAGTTTGACAACAGTAATAAAACAATTGTAGTGTTTTATTTATTATTACTTTAATGGAATTACTTTTTTGCAATGCAAAATGACATCATGTATAGTGGGAAATAATAAAAGCTGTAGACAACCACTGGTTCATAACCAGATGGAAGCTTAGCTTAAAGAATCACTGAACACATCTGCACATACACCTTCTGACCAAGCCCTGCCTTTTTGTCTGTCTTTTGTCTGTTCCTACGGGGCTAATCTACTGTTAGATGGAGATTTTTCCATGTGCACATTCCTAACTAGTGGCTGCGGGATATTTTCTATTATTTCTTTTCTAACTAGAAACCAAAGCAACTAATATTATCATTGACCTTGAAGATCATTTTCCACATAATTTAAAAAATGTTTGGCTTGGTGTGAAGCTCCACTATTAATTACAGAACATGTATTCATTTTATTTGGACTTTACAATAATGACTAACACCCTAGGACACAGAGAGTGTTTTGGAACCTCCACCACTGATGATAAATGAGGTCTCCTGTTTGGAAAGGGCAGGTTTCTCCTTCTGACCTTGACTGACTGATTGGCCTGTGATTTAAATTCTACATGTATACAGAAAAGGTAGATCCTAAATATGATTCTGCTAGGCAACTGCGAGACTTAGCATGCTGACATTTTTACTTGGAGTAAACAGGATGGACCGAAGCAGAGGCGAGCAGATGAAAACATTGAGGCAAATCCCAGCTGTTAACTGTCAAGGGCAGGGTACACCCTCTACAGGTCACCAGTCCATCGCTGGGCCACATATAGAGACAAACAACCGGTGCATGGTAAAAACAAACCCCAGTCGAAGTGTTTTACTGACCAGTCAGGTCTGTACCTTTCGGTGACTGCATACACAGAGCAAAGCAAGTTCCCAGGACTCCAACCAAAGCTGTAAGCAGCTGCATGCGAGCAGCGCTCCATCGATCGAAACCTGCCCTCAGTAGGATGGCAAAGTCACCCACCTGCAGAACAGAGACAGCGCTTACTACACAAAAACAGTCACACAAGTGGCACGGTTAATGTGCATCCACAGCATGTATTAAATGTGCACATTATATTGTGAGAAATGGAAAAAAATTCATGCTCTGTGCTCCAACTTTTGCCATGGTTTATCTTGTATTTACTTTAAATAAAGAAGATCTTTAACTCTTACCTCATGTGGAATTTCGTGGAGCAGGATAGCAAAGGTAGTGAGAAAACCAACCTGTAAGAAAAGCCTAATTATTTTTTTTTAAACAAGTTGATGCTGCTGTATAGAATAATTAATGAATCAGTAGAAAAAGACTTAAGAGATAAGAGATTACATGTCTTCTTACAAACAAATTTAATGTACAACAGCTCAGATACACTGTGACTTTAAATGCTTGATTAATACAAATATTAAATTACAGTATAAATCGTAATTTATTAGATGTAGGTTATTGTTTAATTTATTCTGGTCATCAACAAAAACGACAACCAATGACAAAACATGTTTACGTTAGAAAAATCTATTTAACTTCCTCTCGGGCTCGTCGACCCAGAGTCCATGCTGCTCGCCTTATGTCTCTCCAGCTGGACTCTTTATTCCCACAGCTACAAATACATGCAGTGAACTGCTGAGGCAACAAAAACTCACCGTCATCTCTGCAAAATAAAAATGTGATTTTTAATGAAATGAAAGCACATTTCTAGAAGGTAAAAAATCGCTGTAATTGATGTTGTCAACATTGACCAAGTTGCAGTTCTTTAATTCTTAGAGAAAAGCACCGATAGAACAAGGTCCAGCTCTGCCAAAAAGACTTCAGACACTGCCAAGCATTGTACTCATAAGGATCGGTGTCGTTTGTCCAAATTCCCCAGATGTATTTTTGTCCTTGGCTTATCATTAATCATTAATAAATATTGCACTCCTCTTGTAAGGCTTCACATTCCGTGTTTATAGGACCTATGACTACAAGCCTGAGTGATGTGATAAAAAGAAAAATATATAAATGAATAAAATAACACACAACTAAACCAGTTGTTTGCTATGATTATGTTAAGTATTTTATAAGACGTATTGTTTTGGAAAGGATGACACGTGTTACCAGCAGTTCTTACCTTTTTGCTCACCAGAAAACCTCCTGCTACTGCCAGTCCATGCATGAAGTTGTCAATACAGTTGGCCAGTAGGTTGAGGTATCCACTTGTCTGACGGTTTACAGAAATAAAGCATGAGTCACACAAAGTTCAGTTAATCTGTTATGATAGATTTTGATGAGCAAATCCAAATGAGATACACTATAAAGATAAAAAAAACACTTTTTATCTGTGATTAAGGTAGTGTTTCTTAAACAAATAATATGTAATATACTATTTATATATATGTTTATCTTTGCTTAGAACTCAAGACATCCAGAAACAGGAGTTGTTGTAACTGATGGGGTCACTGAAGGTTGTGTATAAAACAAATTTCGAACCAATATTAAGTTACCTCTAGTGGGACATTAACAGTCCAGTTTTTGACCCTATGCCCAGAGCAAGACAACAGGCCAACAGATGCTGATGATTTACCACAAATTTTTTCAACACTTTCATTGCTGTGTCAAGTGTCGACCACCTGTCACCTAAAACAACACAGTACTGGCGGCAGACCTCTGCTGTTATGAGCAGGTGGAAAAACATTGGGTAGACTGGCATTTAAGGTCTGGTTTTACTGAGAAGTACTGATGTTTCACAACAAACAACAGTAATGGTTTACATGTTAGGAACTATGTTGGAGCTGCTGCTCTATATAAATAGAGTGGTGTTTTTTAACATAGACGGTTAATTTCAAGCACACTGCTTTAGTCACAGTTACTTTTAACAAATATTGTCGTTGTCTGTGTTACCTTAATTTTTGCTGCTCCTTTCTGCAGACCGTGTTGCTGCGACTTGGAGTTTTTCCATGAATTGTCCTGATGCCCATTTGTGATTGAACCCAAAGTTTCCTCGTTGGAAACTGAATTAGAGCGACACTGTGGAGAAGGAACAACAAAGCAAGGATTTAATTATATGTTACCCCAGTCCAGGTGAAATCTATTATTAGACATTTTAAGGCTTTGTTAACCCCAGTCCAGGTGAAATCTGGACTATTATTAGACATTTTAAGGCTTTGTTTGAAAGACAATATTTATGGGACACCTAAGTCATATTTGGTCACCGTTTGTAACATGTCATTTAGTAGCAGGTCAACCATATTGAACTGCAAAATAGTGCAATATGATGTTCAGAAAAATTAAATGTCTGTCAAAAAAAATCTGTAATTCTTCCTGTGCTTTATTTTAAACAGATATTTTTTGTCTAAATGTCAGGTCAATATGTTACTATTTATATATAAAGATGGACATATATGAGTTTGCACACAGGTTTGGCTAAGTCGACAGCTTCAACTTTCCGAGAACGGCCAACTTCCCTGTTCTCTATTGGGAAAACACTTATGCTGCTATTTAAACTGATCAAATTAAGCGAGGGGAAAATTGCCTGCTGTCTTCCTGCCACAGCAAAGAAAACGTTTGCTGCACGTCTACGGCTGAGGCAAACATCAGCTAATAAAGTGTGATGAATTTCCAGGGCTATCAATTTTCTCTCCCAGTTTTTCAACATAGAGCTAAATTGTCCTGGCCAAGAAAAGACTTATTTCTGTGAAGTGGGAAATTGAAAATGCATCCATTATATTTAACTGGGATGGAAATTCTCCACACCTGCATGGAGAAAAAAAAAACTATTCATACTCAAATTATAAGAAGTTCAACTTCAGCTGCCACATTGAATTCCCTGAATTTTGTTTGAAAAGAAAAAGGCTACCTAATTCACGTCAATAACATTTTCTTAAATACAGTATTATGCAATCTTTGTGTGAGCTAAGTGCTCTCATGTGGAAACTAAAATGGAAAAAGCAGCTGTGATCTCTACCACTAGAAATAGACACTAGAAAAGGAGCTGAGCTTTCTATTTAAACGATTCTTCATTTACCAACAATGAAATGGGAATTAAGGACTCGTGGTCAGATGTTTGCTGTTTCAATAATACACTGCTGTAAAAATCAGTTTAACATTTGAGCCACATTTCTTTGTTTTACTGTTGTTTACTTTTTGGTTTAGTCCAGTGATTCTTAACCTTGTTGGAGGTACTGAACCCCACCAGTTTCATATGCACATTCACCGAACCCTTCTTTATTCAAAAAATAATATGATTTTTTTCAAATTCAAGACATAGGTATATGGTTATATGAGTCAGGTGTGTGTCTTGTCCTCTGCCTAACCCCTGAGACTGACTCACCGAACCCCTGGGGTTCGATTGAACCCAGGTTAAGAACCACTAGTTTAATATGATGATGCATAAACAAATGTTTTACTTACAGGAGTGTTAAAATTCAGATCTGAATTTGGAGTTGGATCCTCTTGAACGTCTTGGTCAGGAAACATCTTCTCCAGGAGCAGGAAGGCAAACAGGCCAACTATTACCCACAGGCCCTGGGTCATGTAGTGGTTTAGTTTACTCGCTGAGGGATTAAAAGAATGATTGGAATGTAAGAATGAAAAAAAACTCTCCAGCACAGTCTTATGATGATAACAGGTAAATATAATTATTAAATGAGGCGAGGGCACTGGCTGAAAGAGACTGACCTGAAGATCCAGAGAGAGCCCACGCCTCTGGGAGCAGGTGAAGAAACACATCACCGAGGAGACCACCAATGGCAAAGCTTAAGAGCTGCTTTAGTTTCTGGGAGCCAGCTGCAAGACACCATATACATATTATATATATATATATACATATATATATATATATGTTTCTATTTTTCATGGCATTTTGTGCGTAATAAAAGAAACATAACTTTGCAACTCCAAAGATAAAATTAGTATAAATTTAGAATCATTTAAAAATAAACAGGGCACCATTAACTCTGTGTCCATCTTGGCAGACAAATATATATAGTGGTTACTCATGTATTCCACAGTTTCTTTCCCAAGGAAGTTTCCTTGGTAATTATTCACCTCCAGTTTGGATGGTGTTTTAAAACCAGGGACTTAAAATAAATGGAAGTACCATGTTGCTGTGGGTGCGGCCCTTGAGGAGACCACAGGCCTCAGGCCGAAGTGGTAGTTCAGCCTCAGTAGGTAAGTGTGAAGAGATCAGTAAGCTTATGTAACAGTTTTTTTTTTGCATCTTTTTATTGTGTCCTCTGTTTGTTTTCCCCAACAACCTCTTTGTTTGGGCATACACAAAAGAAACATGCTGTAAAATTATACTGAGGTTAAAGTGGAGCACAGTGTGTACAACGCCGCAGTGAAATGGTGAATAAATTTGCCTCCGAGTCTCACACACTCAATTCCATCAGTTCGGGTTTAGGTTAAAAACCTTTTTCCTGGTTAATCAGTGCATTTTGTTACACCAACAAAACAGAATTTTAGCAACAAAAACCTATGATTAAATGTCTTACTACTTTAATACTAAGTGCATAATCATAAAATTAATGAACTTAAATCTGTTATGTATTTCTTTCCCATGTACAGGGGTCATCAGCTTATGGCATCCTTGACCTATGTCTTTTCGTGGTTATGTTGCCATCTCCTATTAATTTACTAAGGATGTCGTGTTCCATCATTCTGGTGAACGGCCTTGAATCTAATTTTGCATGGGAACTAGTGGGTGAAAGGAGTGGACAAATACTGTAAGTCATCAGGCCGCACTATCTGTGGAAAACAGCTTTGTTTACATTCTCCTGTTATACGCCATACACTGGATTGTGCTGCTTTATCTTTTCTCCATTTGTGGTGACTTTTTGCCCTTTATTATGGCTCCTAGGCATAAGTCAGACACTTCCAATGTTAAGTGCTGGATTATAATGTTACAGCTGTGTTAGCATAAGTAAGTGACATAGGTACTTATTGACCCCCTGTACATATAAATAATAAATTAAAATCATTTAATATAAAATAAGAGTCCGATGTAACCCCGTTTCTAACGCACATTAGAAGATTTCCCCCAATTTTGCAAATAAGAGTCCGATGTAACCCCGTTTCTCAGAAACCAGACCTCTATGTGCAGCTCATTTAACATAACATAAAACTACAGAGTAACACAACATGAAATTCATGCCAATTAAGTCCTGACTCCCTTCTGAGTTTCTTGTTAATATAGGAAATAGGGTCATTTGGAATTGAGTGTAGTATAACTTGAAACTGCTGCGTTTTATGTGCAGTTCAGTAATATACTACTCATAGAATGTTTGACTTTGAAGGCTGAACAGGAAGTTTGATTTAAAGGATGCTTGGGAAAACTTGTGTCACTTTTTGCTTCTCCAAATGTATTTATATACAAGCACAGAGAAGAGAAAAGCAACAGGAAAAATGGTTCATCCTGTGTATAATTATGAATGCAGAGGTTGAAATCAATCTTCATGCACATATTGTGTGCTCTCCTCATTACCAGAATCTTTTACTTAAATACATTCTTAATTGCAACAGTGTTTCCCATTAATTTCTGTGAATGTGGCAGCCTGCCACAGTCTACGTCATTTAACCAAAAAAACAATAACAAAAGTTTTTCTCTAATTTCTTTAATTTCTAATCTCTGTCTTTCAGCCCATTCCACAGCTGTCTCACTTGTGGGGAGTGTGACTGAGTACAGCTCGCCACAGTCTCCTAAAGTCCTGTGGGAAACACTGTTGCAACATTTCTTTATCTACTTTCAAACAGCAGCCCCTGTTCCTGATGCTTTAGGACCTGGTGTACCAACCAGACACCAAACCGATACCCCAGATGCTTCTTTGTTCCAGAGCACCTGTGATGTTTATCTTCACCATACCATTCCTTACCTTGTGTTTTGAGGGCTACTCCAGCATCAGTAGGGATGACGAGCAGTGGAAAAATCCCACTGAGGCCAACAGCAACAGAGCCAACCACCGAAAGGAGCCAGACATGGGCATGTTCGCTGGCTAGGAAGTCAGCAACAGCTTGGAGACCTGGGAGGATATCTGTAAAGCTGGGACCTTGTCCTGCAGCTGTGTCCGTTGCCTGACTCATAGCTGTTTGTGCCATCTTCTGTCTACTTAATGCTCCTCTAGAGGTCAGCAGCAGCAGAGTAGCAGGGATGAACAGAGCACCAAGAGCCCAGCTGAAGCCCAGCCTACAATTTCCAGCTTTTATCTGTCCCATGGTCTAAAGAGCACTTGTAACCAGTGATGCTGCAGGAGAAGAGAAGAGCACTTCAATCAGCTGGGTCTCAAACATGGTTTTTAACAATGCCGCACATGCTGATTAACATTAGAAAAGGACCGACAACTGCGCAGCCTGTTATAAGGTCAACTCAATGTCACAAATCCCACCAATATTAAAAGCTCCTCACATTGAAATGTTTAGAAATAGAAAACTATGTGGAATCACTCTACAAAAGACACACACAACAAGTTAGCTTAATGTCAAATGTTACTGCATAACAATGAGTTAGCTTAATGTCAAATGTTACTGCAAAAGAAAAGAGCAGCAAACATTTATTCCATAACCTAGCAGTAGACAATACAGGTATTTCAACAAAAACAAACATTGGTACTTTATATTTTAATTTAAATTGGGCTAACAACTAACATTATTATCAAGCTGTTATTATCACTCTAAAGCATCAATCATGTGTGGGAAATCTTACACATCCTTCAATGATCTCTGACATCAACGCTTATATTTATGTGTGTGACACTTAAAATTAAAATGGTAATGCTCTGTATAGTGGGAAATAGCTTTGTTTTCATATTACCTTTAACTGCTACAGTATATGTTTAAGTTGTGGTTTGATGGATATATTTGAATTGCTACTGTTTATTTACTGGGAATCCTACAGCACAGTAAGAAACTAACATATTTGTTTAAAGCAGGAGTTTTCAATGTAAGCCTCCACTGGGGGTGCTAGACCATGGTGAACTAAGAAAACCACTGGTTTTTATTATAATGTATACAGTCATTGCCACATACGAGAGAAAAATTCATTAAATGTCAAGTGTTTGGAGGCCTTTACAAAGTTTTTGAACAGCGGTAATAAGAATTTATTCATCCATACTCATGCCTTTAACAGTAAATGCACAGTTTATAAACGTCATAAAATGGTGGTGTGTAGGAAATCTTACACATCCTTCAATGATCTGAATAACCAACAAAAGATTACCATGTTCTTCAATGTTGTCTCTAATCAATAGAAAAACACTCACAAAAATTAAGTCTGTTAAATAAGCACTGTATTGTTCAACAAAGAGCATGTACAGCCGTGGGAAACGCACAACAGATCTATGCATATTTACAGATCAGCTTAGATCCTGAATCAAGTAGGCCCAAAAAAGATGGCTGTGGGCACAAGGAGACAGAAAGTATGACAACAAATGGACAACATTACTGAAGCAAAAGTGTGGAATGGACTCCTGCGACTGAGCAGCAAAAGTGACAATTAAAGACGCTGAGAAATGACCAGGGTGGACAGGATCAAAATAATCAGATCAGAGGGACAACTACAGCTAGAGAGTAGTAAGAAAAACTAAAGAGATATGTGGAGATGACTGTAACAGGTGCTAAGCCTTTTCTTCAAGATGCCTGTATTTTATATAGAATAATATATAGAGAAAACAAATTTTAGGTGATGCTAAAAAAAAAAAACAGAATAAATAAGAGAACCACAGAGAAATCCCATCACTATGTCAGTGAAGACAAGATGACTGATGTTGCAGTAATGGGAGAGGGAAAGTGGAAAGCCAATGACATAGTCTTTCCACCAATTAGGGAAAAACTATCAAAATATCAATAAACCAGTTCACTGCTCTGAAAGGCATTACAGTAAATTGGAATTTTACTGGTGATATACAATGAATTATATAGATGTTCGTTTTAGTTGTTAGATAACGTGACTTTTCTAAAGCGAATAATAAGCTAGGGTGCACTAATACTAGTCACGTTAAGACGGATAAACTCACAAGAAATTAAAAAGGCGCTGTGTTTCTACTTTGAAACAAACACGAAACTGCGTAACGCTTAAACTTACACGTGCTTAAAAACAAATTCCCGAGGCGTAAGTTTCGTGTGCGTGCGTTAGTTAGCAGGCTAACGTTAGCCTGTCACGCTAGCCTGTCACACATACGCAATCAGTGCACATCAAATTTGTGGGGTAGCACTAAAACTCCAGTCAGTCTGGATAAGTTAGTGTAAGTGTGAATAAAAACTTTAAAGTGTGCCAGAAACCGTGGTTTTTGAAAAGCAAAAATTGAATACCTTGTATTTTCGGTAGTCTTTGCACCGGTGTGTCCCTGCCATCCAGGCCGGTTTGGTGGATGCAGCCTGGGATATCCTCTCCCTTTCTTCCTCCCTCCCTCTCCAGCAGCAGCACTCCACAGACCGCTGCTGTTCGTTCCCAAACAGCCACGTATCACGGTCCTGAAGGAAAAAATGTAAACAGCAGAGGCGTGTCTGGGTCCACCCCTGCTCACACTTCAGGAAGTTTCTATCCCAAGGACTTTTTTTTTAATGGAGCCACTCTCTTTAGAACAGGGCCGGTTCTGCACTTTTGGTGCTTCACTGCATTAACTGTTCACTGCATTAAAAAGGACACCATTTTGAAACCATGAAAACAGGACTTAGATATAAAAAACAAATCTACAAATGAGTCAGATATGAACAGTTATATACTGTAAATATAGTGTAAAGTTTTTTTAGTAATTCTCCTAGCTTCATAACTCAGCTTGAAATCATAAAAGAATAATAAAGACTCAAGGTTTGCATGTTTTCCTTTTAACCATAATGTACTGTATACAGTGTCCAACCATGTTTAAGTTTCACAAATGTAGACAAACTAAAAACACACTGTTTTTTAACAACTGTAAAGGTGAGTTTAAATGTCTTAAAAATTAGACATTTTTCTTTCTATTTATATATTATTGCATAACACAATTCGGTTTCATAGATGTGTACTTCCTTGGTTTTACCTAATAGCACCTCCTGTGTGACATCCTGTGTGGGTTGCAGACTCACTGTGAATGTTTCCCTATTGTGGCATGAATAAGGGACTAATATATATATACACTATATTACCAAAAGTATTCACTCACCCATTCAAATGATCAGAATCAAGTGTCCTAATCCCTTGGCCTGGCCACAGGTGTATAAAATCAAGCACTCAGGCATGCAGACTGTGAAACAAGACATTTGT